GACCTTTCCTACAGAGGCGTCCGATGAAAAGTGTGGATCAATCATTTCAGTGTCTCAAAAGAGCATCCACTTTTGTCACCACCTGGAGGACTGAATGCGGGCGGTAAAGGGACTTTTGCCCCGCCGTCGCCTTTCGGCAAATTTTTGCAAACTTTCTCCGTGGTCCCCAAGAGAGTCTGCCCTGCAGAACAATATAGGGCGGCGCCCAGCCTCTCAATCCCTTTCCTGCCTCCCGACCCCTCTTCCGTTTCGTCAAGCAGATCTCCAGGCCAGTAGCTTTCAAAATTCATGTACAGACCTGTTGGGTGCAGCGGGATATTTATTTATTGGCAAGGCGAGGGGAGAAAGAAGAGGAAAATGAAAGGCAATTTAGTATTTCACTGTTTCCTGTAGATTGTACTATCTCGGGTTCGGAGTGAGATTGCCAAATAAAATAAACGAAGACCTTTCTGCAGTTAGGCAGGAGGAAAAGCATTTCAAAGGGTTTCCCTGTGCTCTTCTCATTTTCTGAGGGGTGTTGAGGCGATGCTCCCTATTGTAGCCCTGAGATATCCAGAGAAAATCTTTCTCTGGGACTCTGCTGAAAATATACGACCCCTCCCCATTCATCGGGGAATAAAGCTGAAGAGGTTATTGTCCTACTTGAGGGGATTTTAGATGCATTTTAAAGGTGTATCTTAAAGTGGGATTAGCAAATAATACTGTATATAATAATTTAGACTTGTTAGAAAAGTAGGAATTAAGTCGGAGAAACTACCCGGAAAATGGGTTACCTCAAATACATTTTTGTTCTTTAAAACAAAAGACCCAATCCGGTGTTCAGGCAATAGTTGACAATACCTTGTGACTCTTAAGAAAACCTTGTTTACCAAAACTCCTGGGGGCCCTTCACTGAAAATAACCTTTCATCTAAGTGAAACTTACTGAGCTTGTTGACAAATTTGCTCAGGGCTGGGCTACAGGTACCTAGGCAAAAGGGAAGGTACGGGAAGTATACAGAATTTTTCATCAGGTGCACCCAATAGTTTTAAACAACATGCCTTGTTTTTCTTGCCTCTGGAGAACAAGGAAGTAGTGTTAGAAATATCAGATCTGTTTTGCAGAAGAATTATATCTCTTCAGACAAGTTAAATTATTTGGTAAACAGACTTGTTATTATAATGTCCTGGAAATTTCTATAACATTAGGAGCTGCCTCTTCATATTGCTATTGAGGTGTCTTTTTTCTCTTCTAACTGAAGAAGCTTTATAATTGTCATATCCTCATGTGTGTAATCGATTACAAACAACTTTCAGGCCATTTTCACACTGGTGATTTAGAGTAGTAGTGTTCAAACTCAGCAGATTTAAGGTGTGTGAACTGACTCTCAGAATTCCCTAGCCAGCATGTTGAAGTCCATGCATCTTAAGTTGTTGAGTTTGAGAAGTACTGATTTAGAGTGTCACCCAACTATTATTATGGAGATATAAAGTCAGTTCCATGAATGGTAAAAGGCACCAGACTAGAAATCAGGAGGTTTAAGCACAAAGCCATCTTGGCCACTTACTCATTCTCACCCCTAGGAAACAAGGCCAACCAATTTTCAAAATCTTGCCAAGTAAACTGCAAGAAATTGTCCAAGCAGTTGCTAAGTGTCAAAATTGTTTTGAAGGTACTTAAGTAAAAAGGCAATGCACTAATATCTGAGCAGGTTTCTCTCGGATTGCACTCTTAATTCAGGTTGGTGCGCAAACTTAAGAAAATGCAGGGTTCGGAAAGTTAGACCGAAGGCTAAAAAAAAAAATTAAATCCGCATCAACAATGAAGCAGAATCACCTGTTCACTGGGGGAGAATTTAGAGGCAGGCGCCTGTCTTTTCTGCAGCATGATCGGCGATGCTTTGTTGCAAGTTCCCGTTCCCTCCTCGATTCTGGTGCCTGCCTGGAGGTTGCCATCTACCTTCCACCCACATTCCCGCACGCAGCAAGTGGGGCTCCTGTGCTTTTGAGCACCGGCGCAGAGCAAACAAGAAAGGGCGAGGAAGCCTCGGGTTCTAGACCCCAGACGCTCCCCTGATCGATCTCTCCTTTCGATCCAGGCACAAGGGAGGTCAAGAAGTCAGTGGGTCTCCAGGCGAGGTTGTGGCAAAGTAACTCTGGTCAGAAGATTACACGTTGTTCTGCGAAAGGAACGAGAAATGCCCCCCCCCGCTGCTTGGGCTACTGCTGTGTGTCACAGAAAGGGCAGGCAGCACCCCAAATCGTGATTGAATATTTGAAGAAGCACCGCGAATCACTTCATCCCATTCAAAGCAGTGGAACTAAATTAAGGAGTAGGACCCAGAAATATTTCAATTTCCGAGATTTTTTTTTAATATTGGGCCATTGATTTAATGAAGGAGGGAAACATACCCCCCTCAAAAAGAATCAGGGCAGGCGGCATAAACGACTGCCCTGCCAGGGCCCCCCTGCCTCATCAGAACGGTGGGACTTATAGTCCATGCCCTCTGGACGCCACTGGCTGGGGGCAAAATCTGGCACTTCTTAGGGAGGAATCGCTTCTCCCGGATCCACTCTCTTCGCTTTCAATTGGAGACCGAAAAGGTATGTCCGAGGTGAGTCTGATGGAATCAGAGGGACATCTGCATGGAGATGACAAGATTCAAGGGGGCGGTTTCTGAGTCTCGAGGTCGTGACAGACTGTCAGGCAGGCTCGCTGACCTGGTTTTCTAGCGAGGAAAGGGGTGGCCTAGAAGGGTGAGCGGAATTCCCCATCAACTAGCTAGCTCTCCTCCGGCGTTGCTGTTCTTCGAAGGAAGTGGTTTTCGGCTACTGATCTCTCTGAAAGGAACTCGGGACCCCTCCCCCCTCCTTTGATCTCCTTTCTGGCGCTGTCCGTTGAAACCTTCGCGGGCTAGCGAAAAGAGCAGCTTCCCTCATTCAAAAACGCCTGCCAGGAGGAGTGACGTCTGGCTGACGCGGCTGTTCGTCCATCAGCAGCAGCAGGAATACCTCGAGCGCGCCCAGTTTGGATCTGGCTGCGCCCTTAGAGTCACCAAAAGTCGCTCTAGGGCCCGGCCGTCTCAGCAGGATGAAAGGCTTCCGGTCGAGGCCAAGTTCCTACACTGCGGAGGAAGGAAAACGGCAGCAGTAGTTCGTATATAGCGGCGGGGCTGAGAAAAAAAAGTTAATTATTTTAATTAGGCCGATATAAAGTTCCGAAGTTGCTTTCCTTAGTCCGATTCTTATCCCCTTTCAATCAGGATTTATGATTCATTCACCAGCCATTGGATGGATCTGAAATCCGCATCGGTCTACCCAACCATGTTCTTGGGTCGCCGCCATGACTCTTAAGCTTGCCTGTTCAGGAGCTAGCTCGGTAGTGCAGGAAAAACTCGCGTGAATAGATACTGAGTTTCGCCACCAGGCAGGCAGCAGCTAAATCCAGGTCTCCCGCACCGACCACGTGCACGTTCACAAATTACACAAGGAAATAATTTAAAGGTGATATGAGAGGATTTTCATGGAACTAAATGGGGTTGAGAAATCTGACGGTAGAATAGTACACAAGGTATAACAGAACCACAGGCGGATAGATTTTAGAATATCACCAACTCTTACCACTAGAGACCGGGGTTACTTTAAGTTACAAAATCTGACCGGTTCAATAGCGCTGGTTTTAAACCGACCAGGCGATCCTGAGCGCAACAGCCACTGACCTCTCCTTTTTTTATCCTATGGAAAGGAAACTCAAAAACAGAGCTGGGATCAAAGGTCCCCCAAAACCAAATTCCAGCTACTCCTTGAAAGAGCTGACCTTATGAAGCCGATTAAAAACAAAACTAAAAAAAAATTTTAAATTTAACTTTGCTCTTAAAACATTTATCGTAACTTCCAAAAAATATTATTTGTGGGTCACCCAGCAGACTCCCACAATCCGAAATCCTGTACTCCGGATTGAAAAGCAAACTACTTTCAATATCCTCCGAGAGTCATTAGTTTACCTTTTAAACTCGTTTGTTTACAACAGCCATCTGGACTAGTATCCTGCTGTTCCTAGTTTTCAGCTGGATGATTTCTCACTGTCAAGAAAGATAATCCGCAACACCCTTCCCACTGTTTCTATTTTGTATTTTATTTTATTTTCGTTATTTCTCACATAATCACAGCTCTTAAGCCACCAACAGTATAAAAATTGGATCATATGTATATAGGTTTTTAGAAAACTACTTACTATAAGTAAAGAGTATAGTGTCTAAATGTTTTACAGACACATGGGAAAAGAATACAGACACATGGGAAAATAATACAGTAAATTACTATTTTTTAAATCAGATAGTTTCCCCTCCCTCGCATATTTTTCTCATATTTGTAATGCGTCAGTTTTCGTAAGTGCTTCGACCTATGGGGCAAAATTGTCGCGAAATGTTAAATTAGAAAAAAAAATTGCATGTTTTATTCACGCGGCAATTCTTCAGATTTCAAATAAAAGTCCTGGAATTCAATAGAGCTGGAACCTAAGTTGTCGCTAAATTAACCTGAGGCTTTCTCCCAGCCGATGCGAGGGTTTGACCGGGGGAAGGGGCGAGAAAAGAGGGGAAGGGCGCACCAACGCCGGGGCTTTTGTTTCTTCCCGGGAACAGCTGAACTATGACTGCTCGTTCTGGTTCGGTTTTCTTTCAGCTGGGCAGAGGAACTTCACGCCTTTGTAGTCTGGCTGTAGCTTGGGGGCTTGGACCGTAGAGCTGCTTTTTGTTTTGTCTGGAGGCGGAGAAACAAACCCGTTGATTCCTCTCCTGCCGTTCGCCGCCGCCGCCGCTTCTATTTTTTTTTTTTTTAAGGGATTTGGCAAACACCCTAAGGAATGAAATCACGTGGTCCCAAAAGGGGCGGGGTTTGCTGTCCAGAGGACGGGGGGAAGGCCCTTTTGTTGATTTCCCTGCCTTCCCTCTCGTAGTTCAGCCGCAGGAGGAGGGGCGGCTGCTCCGAGAAGCTCTGCTTGGAGTCTGTTATATACATATGTATATATTTAAATTGCAGCTTGAGCAGTATAAACGAGACGAGGGGTGTCCTTTTTCCCCACTCTCTCTCCTTTCTTCCGTCCCATATTTTGCTGCTTCGGTGCGCCCCTAGAAAGGATCCGGGATCAGGTAGGGCTTGAACACTTTCCGCTTCCAAACCAATCCTCCTTTCACCCGGGAGAGCTCTCGCTGGCCCCGGGCGGTGCCCTTCCACTTCCCCTTCTCCTCTCTCTTTGTCACTCCGTTGCTCCTGTTCGCCGTTTTCTTCCTTTCCCTCTCCTCACTTCTTGGTATTCCTTTCAAAATGGCCGATCTCTCTCTCGAAATTTGTTAGCCCTTCTCGGCTTTCTTTGTTGTGGTGGTGGTTGTAAGTGGGCGGCGGCGGGGGGGGTGTTATTCACTGCTGAGAGGGATGCTGCGGATGATTTTCCAAAGTAGCCTCTTCGGATTTCCTGATCTTGGAATCATAGGAGCCCCATCCCCTCGCCGCCTCCCCCGCCTGGCTTTGCAGCTAGGGCGCAGGGCTGCAGCTCCGGTTCTCTTTCGCTGGTGCCTTTCGGCAGCAGCCGGGGGCTTTCAGGGCCTTTGAACTCGATAGGCCTTTTCGCCAACAGCTGGAACGGCGGGAACTGAGCCCGCTTGCTACAGAACGGAATGTGGAGCGGGGGCTAGAAAGACTGAGACTAAGCCTTGACAGGCAGCAGCCTGCAGTCGGCAAGCTGGAATCAAAGGCTCGGCCGGGGATCTCTCCTCTCCCGCAAGAAGAGAGGGGCAACTTGCGAGATCCAAATGTCGGGTGCTTGGTCAGCTAGTATGCGCGCATTTTGTCCTAGGCCCGAGTGACGTCTGTGTGTGTGTGTGTGTGCGCGCGCGCGCGCGTGTATTTGCGAGGAGGGGGGATAAGGGGAAATGTAGTCAACTCTTTTTAAGAGACGGGTTTCCAAAACTCGTGTCTTCCAGACCACTCGGACTACAATATCCATAATCCTAAGCCACTTCGATAGCTGGGGAAGCGTGTAGTCCACAGCGCTTGGAATTGCCAGGGTGCGTTGGATCTGATAAACGGGAGCTGGGCTACAGCCACAATATGGCGCATTACGTCGAGAAAATTGGGGAAGGGAGGGAGAAGGAAGAATGTAATATTTCGCTTTGCATTGAAGCAGAAAGATTTTGTGATATGCCTGCCTGCCTGTCTTTCTTTCACCTCGGGTTGCAGCGGGTTAAAAAGTCTGATCTGGAAAATCTAGAAGCGAGAATCTTGGAGCGAGAAAGGGGTGTGTGTCTGTCATTCCTAAATCACGTGGGAACACCCTTTTCGGAGGTGGTGGTGGTGGTGGTGGGGGATGAAAGAAACTTCCCGGGGATTTTATGGGGAAGAGGCGTGAAAGAAGCGGGAGAAAGCAGAGTAAAGGTTGGCCTTTACTGTCGCGAGGTTTGCCGGCTGAAGGTCCCGGTAGGATGCAAAGTAGGGACTGGGAGAGAGAAGCCCCTCCGCGTCCCTGCCTGGAAGGTCGGCTGGAAGGAATGAAACAGACCTGGCTTAAGCGGGGAGGGGCTAGTGGGAATTTTTCAAGGGCGCCGACTATTTAATGTGGGTCCGGTCTCTGTGCGCTGCGGTCCTTCCCTCCCCCGTTCTCTCCAGACGTTGTTTGGACTATGACCGCGCTCTCTCTCAAGGCCAGAAATGGGTGTGAGTCCTGATAAATCCCACCACAGGGAAATTCCGGGTGGAGAAACAGAACATTAACGGAGATGGGAACAGAAATAATCAATCTTCCTGAACGTTAGTTGTCCATTCTTCCTCACAAAATTCATTTTCCTGGATTCCGATGCTTTTTATTTTCTTTTTTGCTAAAGTGGTAATTTCTGCTTTAATATGGAAAACGGATATTTTGTTTGTTGCAACAAGTTAACTTAAGGAGTAGAAATAGGTCTTGTTTTCTAGTATTCAAGAAAGGAACCGTATTTCTTGCATTGAAAGGGTGCATAGGTGCCCATATTTTATATCTATGGAGAGAATAATGGTAACCATCTTTTACGTTTTCTTTGAAATGTCGGGGGTAATTTAAAGTTTAAATTAAACAAGGAATTACGTGCCCATAACATCATTCAGTTATTCACCTTAATTTGGAGGAAAGGAGTCTGGGGTGCTTGGAAAGAACAAATTGGCTCCCTTTTAACTTTTGAGGGAAAACATTTTGGTTTTGTCTCTGGTCTTTTGCCTTAAATTTCGAAGGAAGAATTCTCTAGAAAGACTTTTTAGAAATCCTTCTCTGTAGAAATTAAATTTAATTTCTCCAGAAATTAAAAAAGCATCCGAAATTCCCCACTGACACAAATAAATCACAGTCCAAAATTCTGTGCTTAATGAAGATGAACCTATGTTCTTGTATGTCTTTGTTACCATTCCTCCAATATTTTCTCGAGTCTATCTTCTTTTCAGCTTTGAAGAACAGGTTTGTTTAACAGTCCCATCCCAGTTTTGTTGCAGCTCTTATTGCTTTAAGGTAAAGTATATGTTTCTTGGGACTTTCCTCATATCTTGGATTGAATTCCACCCCTGAACCTCCTTGAATGAAAGCTGAGGGAGAAAAGTAGTTGGAGCCAATGCTCCACATTGATAGATTATGTATTCATTTGTTTGTTTTGGAGGGTGCCTCTTCTCCTGCTCTGTTCCCCCTGTCCCTTCCACCACAAGATCAATCCGTGAACATGAATGGACTCAGCTACCTCCCCCCCCCCAACTGTAACAAGTGGTGTTTGCCTTGTATAATGGTTTGGGGGAGATGGAGAAAGAGGTAGTTCTAGATCTGGAGAAAAGTTAAGTCTTACTATACTCAGTTCTGGGGTGAGAGGAAAAGTCTCAGTGAACCCTTTCCCAACGAGGCACTACAGATACTTGAACTATCCCTCCCATCACGTCCAAAAAGGAGATCTACGGTATGGTCAGGGAGGTGAACAAGTGTTTAGGGTTTGGGGAACATTTTATTAAGGAAGTGACGCTGTCAAGCCCACTCACCATGCGCACCCTCCAGGAAAGAATAGGCTGTTTAAAGCAGCTTTCTCCAATCTGGTATCTTCCAGATGTGTTGGGCTACTTCGTTCATGAATCCAAGATTGCGTGGCTATTGGAAGGCACCAGATTCGGGAAGGCCGGATTGAGTTCTTCCAGGAGAGTAAATTAGGTAGCGGCTGACATAGTCGCGGCGTCTCTGCGGCGTGTGATTGATTTCTCAGATGGCGCAATGCACACATTGCGGAAAAGATAGCAGTCCGATGTGCTCTGAATGAGGGGCTTCAATACCGAGAGTCCGTCCACACAGTGATGAACGGGAGGATCAATCAGAGCAGATGTCGCTTCACCGGCCAAAGCTGGACGCGCTCCAACATTTAGTCTTCTCGCGCCAATACAGCTAGCTCTGCGGCCCAGCTAGATGGGACTGATCCCAGCCGCTGGTCAACCGTCCGCCGACGCGTTGCCTGACCGGATTCTACCCTCCCCCTTGGCTGGGAGAAATAGTCAATAGGAGATGGGCACCTCTAGAAATAGGGGAGGGTGGGCATCACATTATTTAGCATGGGAAGCTTACCAGAGTTGCGGAAGGAAGGCGGTACTCGTGGGGGTCAGGCAATGGATCCCACTCGGGGAGAAAGAACTGCTGCTCCTTCTCCTCAAAGGGTTTCCGCTGATCGCCTTTCGGCTGCAAGTCCCTGGGGAGCGGCTACCCGAGAAAGAGGGATCCGCCAGCCTCTTGGAGAGGGACATTTCGGCGTCAGGCCCCCATCTCTCGGCGCCGGGTGTGTCTGTGTCAGCGTGAGGCACACAATTCTACAAGGAGACGCCCACTGAGCCCAAGAATTGGAACTCTGGTAAGTAACTCCGGCACTCTCTCTCTCTCTCTCTCTCTCTCCCCCACCCCTCCCTCTGTCCCTCCCTTCCCTCCGCCCCCCAAGAAAACCAGTCGCAGCCTCTTTTCCAAATCCTCTTTTCCCCGCTGGAGGAAATAAACCGTGATTTTTCAACCAAATGGAATTCCCAGCAGAGGCGGCTCAGCGGCCTGAGGCCTCTCCCCTTCTTTGAATAACGTTCACACTATCAGAGCGCAGCTGGGAATCTTCTGACTGGCTAGATTGCCGCTTCCACCTTTCCGGTGACGATCGGAGAGGAAGGAGACCAAACGTTTGGAGAGCGCAAACTTTTCTGCAGCGTCCCCTTGGCCCTGAACCAGCCCAGATGGTCCCTCCCCCTCGTGCCACCCTGTTAAACTTTCGCTCCCAGGGGACGGGAGCGGGTCGTATATTTGTTGATTTTGAGGAGCTGAACTTCGCCTTTCAATCCGGCAGCTTTCCAGGTGGTTTAGGGCAGAGGGCAATACTATTTAAATTCGGAATCGCTATCACTGGTTGCCTGGGATATAAATCCCATGAATTACTTTTAATTCAACTGACTCTTAGAAAACGAGTGCAGTGCAAAGATGGCGTCCCTTTTCCTCTTGCGGAGAGGTGTATATGGGGAAGTGTGTGTTTGTGTGTGTGAGAGAATATGCATCATCTTGGCAAACACTTTCTCTCTGCCCGGGGCTGAATAATGTTAAAAAAAAAAAAAAAGCGAATGGAAACTGTGGACCCTGATGACCTACAACTGGGAACTGTGAAGCACCATCATTTTTCTTACTTGTCAATAATATTGTACTGGGAAAGAACTTTTCTGCCTTTCAACAGGGACAGACCTTTTCGCTTTTTAAGTGCTGAAAGTGATGCAAACTCTGCAAATTCTCGGTGGCATTTACAACTTTCTACACTAAATTCTGTTCTAACAAAACATTTTTTCCTGGAAGGTGGGGAAAAAAACCCTCTCTGCATCCCACATTCGGTTGTGAAAGAGGATGTACATTGTTTAGTCCAACTTGAAAAAATGTGCATGTTTGAGCAAGGGAAGCATACATAACTCAAGAGATACCCCAAACATATTCAGCCTGGTGATTGCAGCATCTTGACACTACTTCCCTCAGTTCAGAGCATCCCACAGCTTAGGTCCTAACTACTCAGTTTCAGTTAAAACCCAACAACAAAAGAAGTAGGTAACTTCAGAAGGCATGAATGGATTTCTGGAGCCCATCCTTTCCCGC